CCCTTATTCCGGACTCTTATGAGTTGATTTTTATTGCCAAAGTCAGATGAATGTTGGCAGAAAGGAAAGAATACCAGAGGAATGTCTGTGTTTTATTGACTATGCAAAGGCATTTGACTGTGTGGATAACAATAAATTGTGGCTAACCTTGAGGAAAATGAGAATCCCAGAACACCTTGATTGTGCTTATGCGAAACCTATACATGGACCAGGAAGCAGTCCTCAAAACAGAGCAAGGAAACACTGAATAGTTCAAAATCAGGAAAGGAGTGCAGCAGGGATGCATTCTGTCTCCATACCTTTTCAATCTAGATGCAGAACAGATCATTCAGGAAGCAGGGCTTTATGAAGAGGAATGTGGCATCAAGATCTGATGAAGACTAATCAAGAACCTATGTTATGCAGATGACACAACCTTGCTTGCTGAAACTGAAGACCTGACGTGCTTTCTGAAAAAGGTCAAGGACTATAGTCTTCCATATGGATTGAAGCTCAACATCAAGAAGACAAAGATTCTCACCACTGGGCTAATTGGAAGCACCATGGTAGATGGAGAAGAGATTGGGGTTGTTAACAATTATAGCTTGCTTGGGTCCACAATCAACACTCTTGGCAGTCAGGGAATCAAAAGATGAATTGTTGTTGTTGTTATGTGCCATCAAATCACTTGCAACTCATAGCGACCCTATGTACAAGAGCCCTAAACGCCGTTCTATCCTGTGTGAATCTTGCCATCTCAGACACACTCATTCCCACCACTCCACTCACAAGAATCGATCCATCTCGTCGAGGGTCTTCCTACCCTGTGCCGTCCCTTCACTCTCCCAAACATGATGTCCCTTTCCAAGGACCAGTCCCTCCTTGCAATATGTCCAAAGTATGTCAGACGAAGCTTCAGAATCCTTGACTCCAAGGAGCATTCTGACTTCACCCTCTCCAGGACAAAGCTGTTTGTTCTCCTAGCAGTCCATGGTATATTCAACACTCTACTCCAGCACCACAGCTCAAAAGCGTCAATTCTCTTTCTATCATCCCTATTCACTGTCCAACTCTCTGATGCATAGCACATAATTGCAAGGACTATAACCTGGATCAGGCGCACCTTAGTCTCCAGACTGATGTCGTTGCTCTTCAGTACTCTTGAGAGGTCTCTCACAGCTGACTTTCCCAATGCAATTCGTCTTCTGATTTCCTGGCTGCTGTTACCAAGAGTGTTGACTGTGGAACCACGTAAACTAAAACTGTTGACTATCTCAATCTCTTCACCATCCATACTGATGCTGCCAATTGATCCAGTAGTGAGAATCTTTGCTTTCTTGATGTTGAGCTTCAATCCATATTGAAGACTGCAGTCCTTGACCTTCTGCAGCAAGCGCTTCAGGTCCTCCTCAGTTTCAGGAAGCAGGGTTGTGTCATCCACATAACGTAGGTTGTTGATGATTCTTCCACCAATCCTGTTGTCACATTCCTCCTCGTACAGCCCAGCGTCCAGAAAGTTGAATTGCATTGGGGAAATCTGCTGTCAGGGACCTCTTCAGAGTACTGAAAAGCAACGATGTCAGCCTAGAGACTACAGTGCGCCTAATGTAGGCCATAGTCTTTGCAATTACTTGCTATGCATCAGAGAGCTGGACAAGGACTAAGGATAACAGAATAAGAATTGATGCTTTCAAGTTGTGGTGCTGGAGAAGAGTATTGAACATACCATGGACTGCCAAGAAAACAAATAGGTCACTCTTGGAGAAGGTGCATCTTTCTCCTTGGAGGCTAGGATTTTGAAGCTCTGTCTCACATACTTTGGTCATATGGCTAGGAGAGACTGGTCCTTGGAGAAGGATATCATGCAGGAATGGTAGAGGGACAGCACAGAAGGGGAAGACCCCAGAGAAGATGGATTGATACAGTAACTGAGGCAATTGGTGTAGGTGTGTCGGAGTCAGTGAGACTGGCTCAGGGCAGAGCAGGCTTCAGAGCTGCTGTACATTATGTATGTTATGGGTCATAGATGACTCAACAGCACATAACAACAAGAGAGATGCAAATCAAAACAACTATGAGAATCATCTCAAGCCAGTAACAATAGCAAAGTTTAACAGAGCAGCAACAAAAATACCAGACAAGGTTGTGGAGAGATTGGAACCCTTATTCACTGTTGATGGGAGTGTAAAATGGTGCAACAACTATGGAAAGCAATATGACAGTTTCTCAAAAAGTTGCAAATAGAAATATCATTTTACCCAGCAATTACACTCCTGGGAATATACCCTAAAGAAACCAGAACTGCCACCCAAACAGATATATGAACACCCATGTTTATTGCTCTGTTGTTCACAATAGCAAAGAGATGGAAGCAACCCATGGTGCCACTGTTGTAGAATGGGTCTGACATCAGGGTGGGGGTATGACAGAAAAAA